AAGATGCTCTGTAGGGCTCTGGGCAGGACAACTAGAGAGAAAAACTGAATTGTCTCTGTCTCTGTCTCTCTGTCTCTGTCTTTCTCTCTCGCTTTCTCTCACTCTCTCTCTCTCTCTATCTCTCTCTCTCCAGAACAAGCCTTGGTTCCAGTTGGTATGCACTTTCCATAGCAGAATACACTGAGCAGAGGTGACAAATGCACCATACTCAGGGGCTGGGGATATAACTCAGCAGCACAGCACCTACCTGGCAAGCGCAAGGTCGTCAGTTCAATTCCCAGTACCGGAAAAAAACAAAACAAAACAAAAAACAAACACACCATACTCACAGTCCACATCTCCCCGAGCAAATATGACTTTGCTGAACTTTATATTTTCTGCTCCCATGTGCTATGAATTACCCCTCCCCTCCAAAGACACTGCCAGGGGACTTCAACCATTTTCCCCCCATGTGCCTCCTTTCACCTCCCAATTACCGTAGCAATAACTGGGAATCCACATGGTAGAGGTATTGAGCAGGTGAAAGGAAAGAGCAGAGAGGAGGGATGTGCCTTCTAGGAAACATCCCACCATATTTCTGAGATATCACCACCATCTCCACCACTACGACCTGCGCCACCACCTCCATGGCGAACAGCACAGTGCAAAGACACACAAGAGAGGATCCACACTCGCCCTTTGGGTTAGAAGATGCACACTGGTAATTTTTTAACTCATTCTGAAGTTTTTGGTTGAAAGAAGAATCAATGAATCCAAGAACTCTAGGACTAAGCAGCCACTGAAGAATATATACCGTTCGATTTATAGATGAAAAAATGTCAACAAATTAAGAAATGCAGCATAACGTGTCCAAAAGTATAAGGTTACAGAGAAAGACACAGGGTTAGAAACAAGACCCATCTTGTGGTGTCCTTTATTCTATGGTGTTTCCCACACCCACCAATTAATGTCCCAAAGTCCCCTTCCTAAATTCACCTGCATGAAATAGGCACACAGAGAGCCATGCTGACACAGTTCTTATAGTGCAAGTGTTTCTTAAAATCACTGCTCATTCACAGGAGCGTTTACAGATCACTGTTAAACTTTTCAAGTCTTAGCACTGCTAATATCAAGCTATAACTATCAGGATATTAATGCTTCCCTCTGAAACAGCGATCTGTGTATGATACCCCTACTCATTAAAAGAACAGGAAGTTCTGACGAGTCTACCTGATTAAATGCTACATATCTTGTCCCTCGTGATTTCCTTAAATTTTTCCTGAAACTGTATGGCAATACTGTATTTCATTTTAAGAGTGAACCAGTTTCTTAATGTATGAAATGAGAAAGCTAAGCTATACAATCTGTCAGTGTGTTTAAATAGCACACGTTCCCGTTATAAAAATGACCACTTTTAGATGTAAACAGTGGTTAGATGAGTATCTGATCATGACTTGGTTCCAGCCTGTGGTGGTATCAGAAGCTGGTCAGTCCTTAAAGAGGAGGAGCCCTGCTCAGAGGAAATCAGGGTAATGGAGGCATGCCTGTGAAGGGGATATTGATACCCTGACATCTCTCTGTTCACTTTCCAGCCAACACAAGGTTAACAGGCCTCCTCAGCCACATGCTGCACCATGATGAACTGCACCACCAGATGCCAAAGCAATAGGGCCAAGCAACCGTGTACTGAACCCTCTGAAACCATGAATCAAAATAAAACTCTTCCCTTAAAGTACTTTGTTCCAGTAAAAGAAAGGTGCCTAACAGCTACCTAACAAAAAACCTGTCAATTGTGACAAATTTCATTAAGTTCCTAACAAGGACTGGTATTTACCTACCTAACATTTCAAAAATAATCTGAAATGATACCTTGTCTCATAAAATAGTTTTTAAAAATGCTTTATGCCTGTAAATTTATTTAATAAGTACTTATGATGATATTTGTTAACCATAAAGACTTGAGAAAACTTACTTGAAAGTGTTGAAAGAAGAGTTATCAGAATTGTCTCTAGTGGTACACAGTTTCAGCAGCTACTTCAGTCTATTTTCACGTCAATTTCTAAGTCACATATTTGTGGCCTTTTTTAAGGCACAGGGTTGATAGCTGCTCTCAAATATTTGTTTAATGAACAAGAATAGCATACACAAAATTAAACTAGTCCTTGGACTGCTTGGACCTTTTCCATATTAGAAATATACTACATTTCACACTGCAATATTCACCTTATTTTGTTACAATTTCCAATGATCCAAAGTGTATCTTATGTG